GCCATTGCGGAGACTCCTACACCCTTTGATGGCTCTACGGAATAAGAGGTAAGAGTATTCTCTCAGAGTCCGTAAGTGCTCGCTGTATGATATTGTCTCAAACTCCAGTTCTGATTAATAGCTAAGACACCATGGTAGTGACAAATAGAAGACAATCAGCAGCAACAAGATTAAAGTAATGCCTGTAGTGCGCACATGTATGTGTGCAGATATGTTGGGTAGGTCATGTTTGTATTTATGTGTGTGCGTGTACAAGTATACACATACACATATGCATATGCATGCATGGCTGCACATATCTAATAACAAATCGGCCGGGTCATGGCTGGCGCAACTGTTGCCAAGCGGATGACCACTCCATCTAAGGTGCTTTCGATGCGGGCGTCACGCCAAACCCTGCACAATGCCGAGGCCGTGTTCAAGGTTTTACAGTTTTGGGTTGAGGCTCCGAGTCTCTTGGATTCTACTGCGTGCATTCAGGGTACTCATAGCAGCAACAACGATATCTTACTTCAGTCATCAGTTTTCTGACGCTGTACGGCTGGCTGCGAATATCGTGGCTGTCAAGAGCGACTGGGCGCAGTCTTTGCCCGGTCGCCTGTACCGCTCTCGTTACGGCCTAAGGACAGGTCTAAGAGTCTGAGTACAGTATTACTGTGACCACTTGTACGGCTTTCGGACCGTTCAAGTTCAACAGGTAACTACTGCCTGAGCATGTGCAACAGGCCACCGGGACGTTGACTCGGTGTTAATGTTTTGAAGGGCTTTTTGGGTTTAGGATGGAAAGTGATTCCTGTCAGGCTACGTGTCCGGTTCCTCCTCGAATCCACCGTTGGACTTCTATCAGTTTCCGCGTCTTCTGGGCGATGTGTCCGTTTTGAAGAAGGAGGTCGTGGGAAATCCCATGTACGCCCAAGCCTCAGTTGGCGAAGCTCGGGGTCTGCAGGTAGCGGCAGGTTCAGGGTTTTAGGGTTACTTGGAGGGTCGGGGGACTTAGTAACTGGTTCTTTTAGGGACTTATAAGTACCATAACCGCAATTAGGGTCCCTTTTGGGGTACTTATAAGTCTACTTACTATCGACTTACTAAGTCCCCCGACCCTCCAAGTAGGGTTTAGGGGCTACGGCAGGAGCTGAAACATGCACCGTGCAGAAGACATGTGACTCAGGACACCTCTGCCGTGCTCATGGCTCTCTGTGCTCTCTCAGCGACGAAACCGCAAGTGGATATCATGTTGGCAAAAATCGCAGAAGGCCGGGTTCGTCAGATTGGACAGAGCAGTTTCCAACCCCCAACCCACTACCCTGAACCCTAAACTAAACGCGAAACCCCAAAAGCCAAAAACCTGTCGAAGTCTCCTGCAACAGATGATAGGATCTGATATAAATGCAGAAGATTTTCTTTGATTTAGGGTTTAGGGTTTAGTTAGTTGAAAGACAGAGATCTCCTTGTGGAGGCTCGATCCTGTCCTCATCGGAGCGAGACGAAGTGCTCGTTCGAGCTTTCCGTGGAGAGGACGGGCCTACTAAGGTAATATAGGGGTCTGAATAATTATACTGACAGTTGCTAAGTGATAGTGTCCCCATAAGACCCCTCATATAAGGTGTTCATCAAGTGCATGCATATGTTAGCCCAGGTGCGAACATCAATCGTACATGTATAGTATTTACGATACGGGAAGGTAAGGATACGCAATGCAATGCAGTGTAATGTAATGCAAGGTAACCGAGTGTAATGTGTTTCAAGGCAATGTATCCTTGTCTATGTGATGTTATGATGTGCATTGGCGGGCGATGCAATGAAGGGCTGTCCAATGCAGTGCGATGCAACGATACAGTGCAGCGCCTCAATGTATCTCTGTATCAATACATCATCGTATGTATTTCAATGTATGCAAGTATGTGCATTTAGGTATGCATATGTATGTGCATGCAGGGGTGTACAAATGTATGTATGTGTGTGTGTATATATATATATATACATATATATATATAGATATAGATACACACTTTTATGCAGAGACAGGGTGTCGGCTATGGTGGTTGTTCACAGAGCCGTAGCTCACTGAGCTCCCTGAGCATTTGAGCTCTCCAGGCTTTGCCCGGACTACTGAGCCGCTTCTTGGAGGGGACGCTTGGGTGCTCATTCGTCCGTTCAGGGGTGTCGGTCTTAGGGGTGTTAGGGTTTAGGGTTTACCTTAACCCTGAAGAACCTACCTTTTTAAGGTTCCTTATTATGATTTCCTTATGCAAGTCCTTGAACAGGTAAGTCCTTGAACAGGTAGGTTCTTCGTGGTTAAGGTAGGGTTTAGGGTTTAGGGAATGGTTCAGGTTAGACTTCTCAAGGCTGCGAGTTCTGAGGTTTTTGAGGTTCCGGTTTGCAGGAGGGTTTAGGGTTTAGGGTTTAGGTTTGTGTTACGGGGCGTTTGGTGCCCACTCCCTGCCCTTGCCCTTCCCGGATGTGTGGCCTGGAGCCGTGCCCAGGAATTGCTGGGGTTCGTGGGGCATCGGCACCCGCAAACAAGAAGACGGGCTCATAATAACAGTAATCATGATAATAATACGAATAATAATAACAATAATAATTGTGATCATAGTAGTAATAGCTGTCAGGCGAAGTGGTTAGCTCGTTGACCTTGATCTCGGAAGAACCAAGGAAGGTGGTTGCCCGCAACTCCATCTGAGGATGCACTGCCACGCTGTTGAAGCAAGGCTCCTTGCAAGAAAAGGCTGACAGCTTGTAATCCATGTGAAAATCCTGTGTCTGCCATGCCTGCCCTGCGAGGAGTCTGTGTAGCAGCCTGCAGGGCGACAAATAGTTTTCCTACGGAACCTGAAGGTGGATTTGATCCCCCTGTAAGCTTTGACTTCCCGGCAGTGTGAGGTTCATGCTACATCCCACGAGTCTGCTCGTGAACACGTGTGCCACCACCATCCTGGCATAAACATCATGTTCATGCTCATAATCTTCGCCGTCAGCCGCATCATCATCACCATCGTCATCATCAGCAGCAGCAGCAGCAGGAGCAAGCAGGGGTCTTACACATCTTCCTGTTCCTCCTTCGCACAGGTTGTTATATAGCTCATCAACATACTGTAGGCGCTGACTATCGAACTACTAGTACTTTTTTCCCACGGCTCCTTATATACCATGCTGACTATCCTCCAGTATCCCCCCTCAAAACACGTTCTAAATATTAAGGCCCCCGGTATAGGCCCCCGGTATCCATACCATCTAGCTGTCAGGGAAGCCGGGGAGGTCGAGTCCATGCCTGCTTTTTGCGCATCCGGTCTCAGATAATAGTCTGGCTTAAGCAGCATTCAACGCATCTGCACTCCGCCGCACGGAAACAGTGCGACAGCCAAGTGGGCAGTTTTCTCAGTCAAACCCTAAACCCTAAACCCTTACTACTACTCGCAACCTTTTGATGCACGGAGGTGGTTGCAGAACCCACAGTCTAAACTGAACGTAAACGCCAGCCCGGGACGGGAAATCCCATTCCGCTGTGCCGGTCACGTGCATCGGATAGGTCAGGGAGGCTGGTGAGAGATAACATATTGCTATAACACAAGACGATAACATAATGAGTTGAATTTAACATCATGCTTAGCTTCGCGGGCAAGGTTCTAAGTATTCCACAGGGCTCACGGCCTGCACTTGGCACGCATCCAAGAACACCTCCGCTCGAGAGCCCCTGAGCCGGAAGCCTTGAACCCTTAGCCCCCAAAACCTATAAGCGATTCCTAAGCCTTAAACCCCCCTGAACCCCCAAAACCTGAGCCCTACATTCAAGGCCTACATCCCTAAAGGAATCCCGAAACCCCGGCATCCCTAAACCCGAACTCAGACACTCTCGGCCCACTCTTCGCGGAGGGCAGATGACCACGATCCTTGTCGCGGTCCCACGAAAGCAGCAGCCTTCCATCCCCATCAGTTAGAAAATGTTCATCATGATAATACAGGGTCCTTAATAATTACCAATACTATTTTAGGGGTTCCTTATATCGCTCAATTAGAAAATGTTAATTAGGTAATAATACAGGGCCCTTAATAATGACCAATACTATTTTGGGGGCTCCTTATTTTAATTAGCCCGTTTCTAAGTATTAACGCCCCTAGAGTAGAAGGTTTGCAGTAGGATGGGGCATGATAGGGCTTTATGTAGGCTTAGGGATTAGGGGTAGGGTTTGGTATTTAGGGTTAGGGTTGAGGGCCCATCACTCTTGCCTGTGCAGTTTCGACCTCTCGGCTGGCTTGGCTTAGTGCGGGGCTGGGGGTCAGGACGCCTGGTCCCCTGCAAGTACTGGGATCCTTCCATCGTTAGTCTCACATCGCCTTCAAAACGGGGCTATAACATCGGCAGCAAGCTGCCGAGAAGTTTATGGACTTTGCGTCCAAAGGACGCTGCGAAAGAAGCACCCGGAAAAGCGTGGCAGAAGGCTTTAGGGGTCTAAGGGTCGAGGAAAGCTCAGTCATTATCTGGGAACCCTTCTACCAGCCGGATGTCGCCATTGAAGTGCATACTATAGGGGCCTTGATAACTACCTATACTCTTTGGAGGTTTAAGGCCCCTACATTACACCCAAGCTCAGCGTTAGAAACGCTCCGGCACGTCAGCTTCGGGGCGTCGCCGCTTTGCCAATGCTAAACAACAAGCCGTCAGAATGAAGCCCCTACATTATGGTACCCTTATAGATCCCTTTATAGTAACCCTTATAGACCCTTTTACAGGAACCCTAGGAACCCTCAGACGTTGCGCCATGTTTTCTGGAAACTTTAGCGCCAACTTATGACGAAGCCCACATAAAAACCATCAGACCATGGTGATTCATCCCACCCCCCCCCCAAACAGAGAATCCCTAAATCCTGGGCCGTCCCAAAACTTACCTTTGGTTAGTAGGGAATGGAAGAATGGTAGTAATAGTAGTTATAATTGTACCCCATTCCTCCATTTCCTACTAAGCAATTGTAAGAAAATGCCCGATTAAGTTCTGCTCGAGGCTCTTCACCTTCGCCTCCGAGATGCTCGATCTTCGATTTGCCTACTTTTCCGAGGATCAGGTCCAGTTCTTGGCATGTGAGCTTTGGGCATAGATGGGGCAAGAAATTCAGATCATGTGGATGGGTTTGCGTGAAATACTTACAGAATATAAAGTATGTAGATAGATCTTAGTTCCATTTGCGTATGTTAGCCTGCTATTTATTTATTTGATGTAGTCCCGTCTAGCAGGCCTCTGACGCACTTCTGCCACTGAGTTCAACTGAGGTCGGAGATATCGCCAGAACCTTCTGCCAGCTGCGGCATCATTGCCCAGTCTTCCTCGCGACTTTGCGTCGGGCGCGGTCCCCGAGCACAGCAGCAAAATGCTCTCGGTCTGTTGTTTAGTTGTCTTTGTTTCTTTAGCTGTGTCGGTGTGCATGCATTCGTCGTCAGCAGTTGTGCAGTTGTCTGATGGTATTGCTGTTTATTCCGACGTGCTCGTAACAAGTACACCTCAAATACACGACCTCGCAGCTTCGCAATACTTGGCAGGGCTGTGCTGGGGCCACTTGGGTTGTTCACTCCCTGTCTGCCTTTCCAGCATGAGATGCTGCATGGAACGCTTTTCGTTCAGGAACTGCCCATGCGTCTGCACGAGTACGCCTGGTGGAACCTTATTGACATCGGTGAGATGTACTTGTATCTGCAGGCAGGCGGCAAGACTCGATGGCGACAAATTCAACAAGTTGGCTGGGATGCAAACCCATAGCTCTGCCAGGTTGATGACCGTGACATCATTGAACGCATCGCCAATGAGGTTTACAAACTCATTTTCAGCATGAAGTGCGCCCTTGCACTCCCACCATCAGGGACAGGTGGCTTGCAAATCCCGACCCTATAAAGCCATGCAGATTGAGGTGATTCCAAGGGGCAAGGCATTTCGATGCCTGGTCGCTTTCAGGTACAGCTATCCAGCTAGAGCGCTGAAGATCTTGGCGTTCCTGGATGTGGGAGACAAGAGGCCGGTTTCATCCGGTTGCCCATGCCCCTTTCGAATTTCCAGGGCCAGAAATCAGAAATCCAAGGAGGATTTGACGATGACTTTGGATACTGGGCTGGAGTAAGAGTCCAGAGGGCGTGTTCGCAAAACTCCTATTAACATGCCTTTGTGATCTGCGAGACTACGGAAGTGTCAGCAGCTGCGAGTATCTTTGATCAGCTGTCAGGCTTCACTTGTTTTCGTTTAGGCTAGCTTGTGCCTCTAGACTGGCTGATCAAAGAACGCAGACGAGACTGTGTCATACAGTAAATCCTGCTTGTCCTGTTCTTTCGGGCCGTACCCCTCCCCTCTTCCCCGCGCCCCCAACACCAACCTAGTTTATGCTTAGATTCCAAAGCCAAGACCTCCGATACCAGCACATCAGGACGCTTCGACTTTTAGTGCGCCTCCCAGAGCCCTGGTCGCTGATGCAAGTACTACGTATGATCAGACAGCGGATAGCCCTAAACCCCTAAACCCTAAACCCTACATGTTGTCGCCGTCATCGACTTCGTGGTCGTAGTCGCAGTCGTAGTCGTCGTCGTAGCGGTAAGTACCGCAGCAGAGCACTAGCACTACCAGAGCACTAGCACTGGCACCCGCGCCAGCAGTAGAAGCAGTAGCAACAACAGCAGCACCAGCGGCAGTAGTAGTAATGGTAGTCGTGGTAGTGGTGGTGGTGGTAGTAGTAGTGGTAGTGGTAGTGATAGTCGTAGTAGTAGTAGTAGTAGTAGTAGTAGCAGTAGTAGTAGTAGTAGGAGTAGTAGCAGTAGCAGTAGCAGTAGCAGTAGCAGTAGCAGTAGCAGTAGTAGTAGTAGTAGTAGTAGTAGTAGTAGTAGTAGTCGAAGTAGTAGTAGTAGTAGTAGTAGTAGTAGTAGTAGTAGTAGTAGTAGTAGTAGTCGTAGCAGTAGAAGTAGAAGTAGTAACGGTCGTGGTGGTGGTGGTGGTGGTGGTGCTAGCAGTAGTAGTAGTGGTAGTGAGAGTGGCAGTGGCAGCGGAAGTGGCAGTGGTAGTGGAAGTCGTAGTCGTAGTGGTAGTCGTAGTAGTAGCCGTAGAAGTAGAGGTAGTAGTAGTAGCAGTAGTAGTAGTAGTAGCAGTAGTAGTAGTAGTAGTAGTAGTAGTAGTAGTAGTAGTAGTACTGTTGATGGAGGAAATCTTGCACCACTTTAAGTGGCCAAGCCAAGCAGCCACCATGACTACTACTGCTACTGCTACTAGTACTACTACTACTACTACTACTACTACTACTACTACTAACACCACCACCACCACAACCACCACCACTACTACTACTACTACTGCTACTACTGCTACTACTGCTACTACTGCTACTACTACAACTACAAGACAACTGAAGGAGTGAGTTGCATGAACCCGCGAACGGTGAACGAGCACATCTACCGATGCAGCACCTCGATTTGATAGCCCTAATAGCCCAAATGCCCATGTTTAGCTCACGGCAAGAGCACGATCCGAATCCCTAAGCCCTTTATCCACCCAGAAGCTGTTCTCTCTATCTCTGTCTTAGGCATTCCGCTCGGACCTACGAGACTGTCAGCACTCAAAGCTTGGGTTTTCCCTGTGCTCCAAGCCCTTCTTGCATGATTCTCAAACACAGGTTGCCGATCTTATGACGGATCTCGTGACAGATTGGAAAGGCTGTGACTACGCTGCTGGGCACGTTTAGGGTTTAGGGCTGAGGCGGTCTTACAATTTGGCTTCGCAGCCAACTTGCGCAGAAGTCCCAAACCAGAACAAAAACCCAAGAAGGCCACCCAGCTGAAGCCCCATTCCGAGGATATTGTCTCGAGGAGCTGCTGCTCATTTGCGAAACAGTTCGCCGACAAGCTGGGCGTCGACCCTTGGAATAGCATGTATTGTTGTGAAAGGGGCCAAAACACAGGAGAAGTTTTGTGTTAATTTGGCTTCATGGGTTTACAGGCGGAAGGTTTCCCCAAGTGGATCGACCGCTTCGCGCGACAGCTTTGCCGGCTGACTATCGCGGCACTTCAGGCACGGCAGGAGTAGTTGCACTTACTCGTACTCCTAGGCATAACTTTTCCTGTTGGGTAATCTTCAGCCCTCACACAGGGGCATCCCCACGGTTCGTTTTTGGATTCAACTGGTTCATAGTTTGTTCTCGCCAACGCAGCACTGTCGGCCAAGTTGAATGCGATTGCCATTGCAGGTGAGCGCGACCATTCACGAGAGACACTTGGATGCGAAAAGGCTGCAAGGAACGGGATTCAAAAAGCAGTTGTCTTGTTCAATAGCTGGGCTTCCTTTATGTATCCTTGTGCATCCCTGTATCTCACTATAACCTTAAAAACCCGCGCCAGCATCCACCACCCCATGGCCTGTGGTCTGCGTCTGTGGTCTAAATATGTTTAAATTCATGTTTACCCAAGGTTTGTGGTGACTATAGTGTTTCTAGCGGGCTCATAAACTCATCGCGCCACCCCCCCGTGGTTTACATTTGGCTTATGCTTTGGCTCAGCTGAGGTGTGGACGATTTCAGGATTCAATTGCGTGAGTTTTCTGGCTTCATGACCATGGATCAGGATCAACTCTCGCCTACACAAGACCTTCAACCCAGGATCCAGGCCAGCCGGCTTCAGGACATTTGGATGAGTTTGCGTTGAACGGCACTGGAAGCTCAGTTGTATCCAAAACACCTTAGATAAGCTCCGGCGTACCGACTTCCCGATCCCGGAACAAGTCTCCACCAAGACCTTCATACCCGAGACCCTTGTGCGTCAGGTTACCGACGATGCGGTTTGGCTGGACAACCCTTGGTGGTCTTAGTGGCCAGATAGATTCAAAGTTGCAATCATCAAGAATCATTTTTTAGGCATTGAGGCTTGGAGTATTGAATGTAGTAGTGTAGTCGGTAAACCGGCCATAGGCAGCCCGAACCCTTCAACCGTCAAGCCATCGCTCAGGCACTCTTCAGCGTCCTTCTCCGCCGCCGTTCTCGCAGTTGGAGATGGGTTGGCAAAACCATGCTAAGCCATGGTAACCACCCTAATGTACGCAGCGCTTACCAGTATGTATCATTGTAGGGGTGGCATTTAATTCAATCTAATTCAGCTGCGGCTTAATTCACGCTTCTCACGCGGCTGGTGAGGCTGGTAGACGTTGGCCCAAAGTAAGGGCGCTGCAGGTCTCAGACCCTAACCCCACATGGCCACCGTTCAGTCTTTGTTTTGATTTGTGCTCATGATTGCTCATGATGATGAGTGTTTTCGCCAACGAAGCTGCCCGAGGCAGACAAGGTTAATGCAGAGCTCGAACCAAAATGAAGGGTCTGTGGGCGCTGCATTTCTCTTGTTTCAGAGGTGGGTGGTGGCATGCTGACATCTCGGATTGAAGTTTGGTCTTTCAGTATCTTGTCAGAGTGGTTTGTTCTGATACAAGTCCACTCCGCCGCATTATGCAGCATCTGAATCTGGCTCCCAGCGCAAAGCGTGAGCTTGGCGCTAGCTGCTAGCTGCTAGCTTGTTTGTTTTGAAGGCCAGGAACCGCAGATCGTTTCAGAAAGTGTTTCAGAGTTTATCAGATTCAGGTATGCCGGTGCAACATCGCGCACTTCTCAGTCCTGCCCGTATGCTTGTTATCTGGAGACTGTTTCAACCATTCCGATTCTGCGTGCGCACACGAAGGCTCGTCAGTAGGCAGTGCATGCACGATCACAGAATCAGAGATGGTACAACAGGATGTTAGTCTTTTTGCAGACCGTGTGCAAGAGCCCAACACCAAGTAGATAGCAGCAGTGACTTACAAAGATGCGCGTGTCGGGACCTCCAAGTTGAGGTCCACAGTTCACGCGGAGCTTGTCAGACAAAGGAAAAGGAGGAACCCGCAGCAGCGGGCACGGGACAAAGCAAGGCACCACCCGTTGAGGCAGTGCCTTCTACGCCCAGGACTCCTCCACCTCCTCCGCCGAAACGGCGAAGACAGGAGCCAGACAGTTCGGAGGA